TGTCTTTATATGGCAAATTTATAGTTAAAAAATTTGCATGGTGTATTTCCTCATGTAACTTTTAACATATCCTAGATTTATGAATGGTATTTGGCATTAAACATTCTTCATGGGGCAAAATATTACTGAAAGCTTTAAGTGAATTATTCAGATATAATAGTTTATTTATAGTTTATAGCAGAATATAATATTTATATATAAGTATAAATATTATAATAGTTTCTAGCAGAATATAACTGAAAGCTTTAAGTGAATTATTCAAATGTAGTTTTAAAAAACTCAGTGTAATTATTAGCTGTGCATCCTTAAATGAGTATTTAGCTTCTCTAAGCCTATTGTTTCACAAGTAAAATGGAGATAATATTTTTGTTCTGAGGCTGCAAATTACTGCAACTAAGTGGCTTAAAACAAAAGAGTACACACTGGCAAATACAGTTCAATACGATATAACATTTTATGTAGAGTCTATACTTTCTCGGTGTCCAGTTAAGAATGCTCAACAAGAGTTCACTATCTCTAAAAGAGTTACTGTGTACAGGACAATAATAAGTCTATATTAATGTGCAGATCCAGGTTGAATGGGGCTCACAGATAGCTGCCTTTTTGTTTCTCAACAAAATAATACTACATGCTGTGGATCCTTAGGATCTAGTGTGTAATGTCAGCTCTGAATATGAAATCATTAAACGGGCTTTCTAAAATAGGTGAAAAAGCTGATTGTATTGAACATAGAAAACCTGTTTAAGACAGTATACCAGAACACAGGATAAAGGTCTGACTGATGTGTATTATTAGAAATGTGTAGCCAATGTCCTGAAGTGATTTATGTTTGTATTGAGAAGCTCTGCTCTAAAGTCTTTTTCCTGCTGGAGTCTAGGAAAGTACTAAGTGGATCAGCTATGGGTTAGAAGTAATTAAAAGTAATACCTTAAAGTGAAATAGACATCTTCATTTTAGACTTTTTCAAGCTATGCATTCTTTATTATTTACCTATTCCAACTAACTAGTCATCTTTCATTATCATCTTATCCTTCTTGAGCTTTCCAGAGCCTTAATTTCTGAAAAAGACCCTGCCTAGTAAGCCTGTATGTAGTAGTACCCTTTTCAGGGCCCCAGATCTTCTAGTTGCATTAGCTTTTTGTTTTTTTTTTTTTTTCAAAATTAATAGTTGACAGCCTGAATCCAAAATGAAACCTTAATTTATCTTGATTCTAATCCATTAGTCTCCAAACTTCTATCAGAATAATCTTCAAGTAGACCTTTTTTCTTTTTTTGAAATAAAAGCTATCTGCTGGGAAAGATTCGAGAATCTATGTTTTTTTAAAAAGCAGAAAAAAATAATAGGTTCAGGAGCTGCCTTTTTAGAGGTGGAAAATGAGATTTATTTTGTGGTGGTTTCAGTTGTATATTTTTCTCCCCTGTCTTTATGTCAGTATCTTAAGATCTTTTTGATGTCTGATATTTAATAGGGAAGGATTTTAAAACAGTGGCCTTCTCAAGGAAATTAATGAAAACTTATAAAATCATACTACTTTTGCTAGTATAAGTATAGTTATTAGGTGTTTGCCTTCATTCAGTTGTCATGAATGAGCTTGATAGGTACCTGTGTAAATAGCATATAAGGGGCAGCATAGAACTGTGTGATAACCTCTGGCCTAAGAGTCCTGGCATACTAGCTACATGTCACATCACTTTTGGACCATAGTGACTTTATCTGTGAAATTAATAGCACAGCTCTCCCTGTCCCGTATGTCTTTATTAAGCTAGTGATTAAGGAGTCATAAATGTTAGGGGTGAGATCAGTGATAAATTGAAGGGAGTGTTATCCCTTTAACACATTTGGTGGAGAACACATCTGCTTTTAGATGACCAGTAGCAATAGTACGGTGGGCTTTCCCAAATGGCTCAGTGGTAAAGAATCCACCTACCCAGCAGGAGACTTGAGTTCAGTTCCTGGGTCAAGGAGATCCCCTGGAGAAGGAAATGGCAACCCATTCCAGTTTGCTTGCCTGGGAAATCCCATGGACAGAGGAGACTGGCAGGCTACAGTCTGTCAGGTTGCAAAAGAATTGGACATGACTTAGCAACCAAACAGGAGCAGCAGCAATGGTATGAATATAAATGACCAATTTGTTTGCTTTTAATAATTTTGAAATGATTTCAGACTTAAAGTCATTAACAGTTTTTTAAAAATCTAGTTTATCCCAGATTTTCCAAATAAGTGAATTTGCTTTCTTGTTCTTTCCCTCTGCTCTGTCCCCCTCTGCATTATGTGTCCCTTCACACCCATTTTTTTCCTGATATTTTGGAAAGGAAGTTGCAGACACAATGTCCCTTACTCATAAACATATCCATGTATGTGTGTGTATTCTAAAAATTTAATCTTGAGCTATTTCTCAGTCTTTTATGACCTCGACATTTTTTAAAGGTATAGGCCAGTTTTGTAAAATGTCCCTAAATTTCATACCATGTTTTCGATGATATGCTTTCAGTGTTTAATTCGCCCCTGCCTCATCTTTTTTTTTACTTTTTTTTTTTTGGTTGCATGGCTTGTGGGATCTTAGTTTCCTGATCAGGGATTGAACCCTGGCCCTTGGCAGTGAAAGCATGGAATCCTAACCACTGGATCAGCAGGGAATTCCCTAAAAGCAACCACATTTTAAATGTTTAACATATATTTTAAATTGAGTTTAAATGCTTATATTTAATTACTTTGTAAAGAAACAAAGGCATCTTGACCCTTTGTGAGATTAATTTTTCAACTTTATATATGCAAATGCTAATTATAGTTAGTTTAGAACTGAAATTCCAAGATTTTTAAAGCTCAAAGCAGTTTGGCATTCCTAGACATTTTATGTTGTCAAAGAGTACATCAGGAGTTTGATGTATTAGGAGCTCATAGAATACAATCAAGAAATATCTAGACACGGGAGGAATTCGTATTAGATATTGATAGGACTGTTTGGAAGGTACTAAATAAAATTATCATTTTCTGGGATAAGTATGTGTTTTGAATTTGCTATTGAAATCTTTAGTTCATTAAAAATAAAGAGGTAGGATTAGGCTTTATGTTTCAGGTACTGATAAGCAGTGTTACAGACATAGTAATGAGTAAGAAGGAGAGAATTGAACATTAGGGTACTGTTAGGAAATCTATATGAAAAATAGGTTTGGAATACAGGTTTGAAAAGTAAGCTGAAGAATGTAGAGCAGGTACTCTCGCAGGATGCTGTAGGATTTTAGTATAAAATGACGACACGGTAGCCTTTGAATGGGAAGACATAATCGTTGTTTACAAAAACAAGTTGGAATGATAAGCAGACTACCCCTTCCCTATGAAAAGGTTAAAGAATTGTTAAGAGACTCAAATGGGCTAATGATCAGTTACTGCTGTGAACAATCAATAGTACCATAAACAGATTAAAATAGGAAGCTGGAAGGATTAATAGTAGTGAAAAGGTCATGACAGTGTTAACACTGAATTCTTTTCCTTTTTAGAGTATATATGAGCACAAATTTATGGTAGAACTGGAATGAACTTGAGAATTTGATGTTAATGACTTTGGTGTATAAAATTACACACTTTTAAGGTATTACAGAACTAGACCATAGGCAGTTGATGCTACATTAAATATTTACAAATATGTGTGTACTCACCATGCATCAGATGCTGTTTTAGGCATGAGGTATCTAGCATATAGGTGAATATAGCCCTGTAGCACTTGACATTGGAAATGGGGCCAAGGATTCAAATAAATAATGAATGTGTATAATATCCTGGATGATGGGAAATTTAATGAAGAAAATTAAAGCTAGAATAGTGGAAACTGAAAGTTGAAGAGGAATTTTCTAACCCACTTCACTCTCCAGGATTATAACTCTTACCGCTCCTTGTCCCTGTAAATCTTTTTGGCCTTCAGTGCCTTTCTGTGACTTTGCACTGACAGTGTGTCCTTGGCACCATTGTACTCTGGCCTGGATTGTACCTACAACACTAAATAGAAGTGATATGCAGTAGTATAAAGCTGACAGTGGATTTTGTTTATCTGAACTGCTAAGTATGCATTTTCCAATTTTCTATACATTTTTCTTTTTTAAAAGGACACTGTCAAGTACTTTTAAGTGGTTATTTGTCGTAAGAACAGTTACCTGCTTCTGTGTATTTTTGTTTTTATCAACTGCCCTTTAGTATTCTTTGGAATAGGATATAAGTTAACTTCAGAGGTTTTTTATTCATTTGTTTTAAATGACTGACATAAAAACTCTAGAAATAATAAATATGTTTACTGCTCCTATTTTTCATCTGTAAAACAGTAGTGTTTTATGGAGAGTGTTTAAATTAAAAATTTTAATAATTAGTTTGTAATTTAGCTTTATTATGTTGTGGGTTTTTTAAGTTTGAAGTTTAATTAGGTTAACTGAGAAATCATTTTTCTTTATATACAAGTGTATATGACTTAATAAATTTTTATGTATTCCAAAAAAGTAGATTTAGTTGTTGGTATTCCATTAACATTGTGGATAGATTTCAATCAGCCTTTATTTTAGTGACTTGAAATCTGAGTTGACTATAGCTATCTGTAACTTGTTTATTAATGTAACTGAAAATTTTGTTGGTGGTTTCAATATTCTGGTATTGACACTACTATGTATGACATTAGTTGTTGTAATTATGTTTTAAATTAAGCTTCCAAAAACAAATATAGGTTTTGTGTATGATGTTAGATGTTTCTAAACTAAACTGCCAAGAACAACTACAGGATTGGTTTGTTTTTTTGTTTTTTTTGCCCATGTTTTCTAGTCTCTTTTTCCCCCATATATTATAGCCACACATATTAAGTAAATGTGTGAGAGTTCCCCTTCAACTTTAATTTTCTGTTATACCATATAGGAATTAGTAGGATGAATATTTCTTTATTGACTGCCTTTTTAGTTTAAGTGACTGACTTAAGGAATGACTTTGTTGAAAATATTTGCTGACCACAGTTGCTTTGTTGTAGGAGGACTGACAAATGGTAGTGGTCGATATATCTCTGCAGCACCTGGAGCAGAAGCAAAATACCGAAGTGCTTCGGGCACTTCCAGTCTATTTAGCTCCAGCAGCCAGCTCTTTCCTCCTTCTCGGCTTCGGTATAATAGGTCTGATATTATGCCTTCTGGCCGAAGTAGATTATTAGAAGATTTCAGAAACAACCGCTTCCCAAACCTTCAACTTAGAGACTTGATTGGACACATAGTTGAGTTTTCTCAAGACCAGCATGGTTCTAGGTAGGTGATTATGATTTATGATACTTTCCACTGCATTTTTGCTTTGAAAGAACCAAGATTTTTCTTGACCAGGATTATTTAACCTGTATAAAAATTGGAATTGTTTAAAAAATAAATATCCAATATGGATTTTTCTTTCATATGAGGATAAACTATAAAAATACAAATATGTATTTTTTATGGTTCTTTAGTTTTCTATAATAAAAGATAGTAATGTTCTTCTGTTGGATTTTTATTATATTGACTGAATATATTTAATTTCTTTAAACTACCTTTTGAAAATAGTGCTCTGAATTACATTTATGGACTTGTGTCCCTGATGTGTATACTTGTTTAAAAAAATGTTTAAAACAAAGTTAAATGCTTTGTGTTCCTTTACATTAAACAGGATATGTGTGTACTATAATACTTGAAGTACATGCAAATTAGTGTTCTCAAGATAATACACAGAAGAGAAAATAGTATTCAAATTCTAACACATTTGCTAAATTTGAGATATCTCAGTAATATAATTATTAAAATAAATGAATGATCAGTAATATCTTTGTAGTTTTTTTTATTGATTACAATACAACCAGAACTAACTTAAGCATTAAACATCCATGTGTCCAGATTTTTGCAAGTCTGACTAGAAGTTTTAAATTAAGGTGTCAACAAAGATATGCTTCATAACTTTTGTTCTTTTTATTTTAAATGTATAGAATGTATTAATACTGTTTCTGGAAATGACTTTATATGGATATATGTTGGGGTGTGTTATATTCAAATCAGACATGGATTTTGCAGGAGCTTATTATTAATATACTGTCATGGCATTAAAATGTTTCCCACATAGATTCATACAGCAAAAGCTAGAGAGAGCTACTCCATCTGAGCGACAGATGGTTTTTAATGAAATTCTACAAGCAGCCTATCAATTAATGACAGATGTTTTTGGCAACTATGTCATACAGAAATTTTTTGAGGTAAGCATACATTCATGTTTGTTCATGCTGAATGCTTAGAAAAGCTCTGAAAGTTTATTCTTCATATAAAGTTTATTTTCATATAAGAATATATACTTGGGAGAAAATATGTACAGATTCTATATCTAGAATGTATGAAATTCAACAACAAAAAGACAGCTCGGTTTAAAAAGGGGGCAGAGGACTTGAACAGACATTTCTCCAAGAAAGATACTCAAATGTGCACATGAGAAAAAAGCTCAACATCCTTAGTCATTAGGGAGACGCAAATCAAAACCATAGCTAGTTCCTTTTTATGTCTACTAGGATGGTGGTATTTTAAAATATAGAGAACAATAAATGTTGGTGAAGGTGTGGAGAAATTAGAACTCTTATACATTGTTGATGGGAATGTAAAATGGTTCAGCCACTGTGGAAGACAGTTTGGCAGTTCCTTAAAAAACTAAACATAAAATTATGATATAGCCCAGCAATTCCATTCTAGGTATATACTCAGAAGTATTGAAAACAAGCACTTAAATGAGCTAGTGTTCATTTCAGCATTATTCACAGTAGTCTAAATGTGGAAACAGTCAAAAATGCCTGACAGATGAATGTATAAACAAAATGTGGTATATACATACAGTAGAATATTGTTCAGCCAGATGAAGGAATGAAGCTTTTCATACATGCTTACTCATGGATGAAACTAAGTGAAATAAGCCAGGTATAGAGGACAAACATTATAAGGTTCCATTTATGTGAAATACCTAAAATAGACAAATTCACAGAGACATAAAGTCGACTAGGGCCTACTATTCTACTAGTAGACCGGTAGGGGAAAGAGTGGGGTTATTGTTTAATGAGTATAGTGTTTGTGTTTGAGGCATTGGAAAAGATTTGGAATCAAATTATGTTGACTATTGCACATGGTAAGAATATAGTCAGTGCCACTGAAGTCAAAATGTTGTATTTTATGGTTAAAATGTTATATTTTATGGTATATATTTATTTTTTAAGTGTATGGTCTTTACACTAAATGAGAAGTTTAATACCTAAATGCTTTCTCGATACCTACTTGCGAAATGTAATATTTAAAAATAGATTCAATAGACTGAAAAGAGTGAGTTATTCAAGTTAACAGAGCAATAATAAAATCTTTTTCTTTTCCTATCAGTTTGGGAGTTTGGATCAAAAATTAGCCCTAGCTACTCGTATTCGTGGTCATGTTCTACCCTTAGCATTGCAGATGTATGGCTGCCGTGTTATTCAGAAAGCATTAGAGTCTATTTCGTCTGACCAGCAGGTAATTGTAAGTTAAGACAAAATTTTTGTATTATTTTATCCAGTTTTTAAGTTTTATCTTACAGTAATCTTGGAGTGAAATGTTAAATATTTCCACAGACTGAAGTATTTTTAAGAATCTATCTTAAATAATACATTATTAATTAAAAATTATACAACAGATCTTTGACCTGTCTTCTGTTTAGTTCTTCAGCATCTTTTCTAAGTGAAAATATCTGAGTATCTACTATGTGTCAAGTACTAGGTGGTAGATGTTTCTGCTACCATTTATTCATTTGATTTTCTATAGTATAAGGGGTACATTTTACTATTTCCAGTGTTTATTTGGATTATATTTATATTTCTGTTAATAAGAATGAATATTTTAACAACCATTTGCATATCTGTATGCCAGTTAAAAATGTATTTACAGGAAATTGCCTGGCAGTACAGTGGTTAGAACTCCATGCTCTCCCTGCCAAGTGTGCAGATTCAGTCCCTGGTTGAGGAACCAAGGTCCCATAAGCCATGCAGCATGGCCAAAGCAGGGAGAATAAAGTATATACAGAGTTTTAAATGTTTCACTCAACAGGAAAAGTAGCCTAAGCATCCTCTTAAGAAGATTTACAGTTCTTTAAAAGAAGGAGAGCACATATAAATTAATTAAATGGGAAATATACCATATTCTAGGATGGAAAGATCTAAGTATTTTAAGCTTAAAGAGTTAAATAGTTTAAGTTAAAAAAGGATTAGTGCAATTCCAATTATGTATCATACGAATATTTTTGTAAATGATCAAAATAAATTAAAATTTTTTTGATGTGGAGTATTTTTAAAATCTTTCTTGAATTTGTTGCAGTGTTGTTTCTGTTATGTTTTGGGTTTTTTTGGCCACGAGTCATGTGTGATCTTAGCTCCCCAACTAGGGATCGAACTCACTCCCTGCATTGGAAGGCAGTCTTAAGTACTGGACCGCCAGGGAAGTCCCCAAAATAAATGTTTTAATTATTTTAAATAGACAAGGATAATTAAGGAGAGTAGGGGATGAGGAGAATTGCTAATCAACTAGATTTTTTACATTGTGAAGCATCACTAATTAATTAATATGGTTTATGCATTAAAATACTTTTAAAATAAAATTTATAACCTCTGCCATAGATACTGTTTTGTATATAACTGGTTTATATATTACAGTGAAATACAGTGAGTGAAGAAAACAATTAGTTCTTAAAAGGTATTGGTAATTAGTAAGTTTAGAAAGTTTGACTCTCAAGCTACACACATACAACAAATTCCAGAATTAAAAACAATAATATGTATGTATATATGTATGTAATCACAACAATGAACATCTTGTGAGAAAATAACATTATTCCTCTTGAGGAAATCCCGAGCTTTAGTGTCATTGAAGTTGTGTCATAATGGAGAAAGATCAGTAGTTTGTATAGATACTTAAGAGCTTCTCTGCTCTTAACTCTCAGACTGGTAAAGATATTTTGGAAACAGTTTCAGAGCTTTCTGAGATGCTCTTCCCAGGTTATAATCCTCAAGTTTTCCTTGAATAAAATTTTCGAATTCTTTCTTAAAAAAATGATATTTTATGTCTCTTTAATATTTGAAAATATAAAGCATTGGGAGTAAGCTTTAGATGAACCAGTTCATGAATAATGGTGTTACATTCTCTGTTTGGATTTTTTTTTTTTTTTTTTTTGGTCCACTCTGCATGGTTTGCAGGATTGTAGGTCCCCAGCAAGGGATCAAACCCAAGCCCCCGGCAGTGAGAGTGCCGAGTCCTAACCTCTGGACCGCCAGAGAATTCCCTCCTGTTTGGATTATTTAGTACATTTGCTTTTGTAATTTAGTCCTTTTTTAACTAAACATTTGTGTAATATCTTGAATTCAAGGATTCCTCTGTCAGAATACAACTGAGATTTTTTGGGTGAGAGAAATTTTCAATAGGAATACTGGAAATTCCCTGGTGGTTCAGTGTTTAGGACTCTGCTTCCACTGCAGGGGACAGGAGTTCAGTGCCTGGTTGGGTAGCTAAAAACTCACTTGCCATGCAGCCTGTCAAATGAAAAAAAAAATGAATATCTTTACACTAGGTGTACTCCATTTTTTCACAATCCTATTTCCTATTACACTGATTAGGTACACAGATTATTGTGTGGTTACTTACATTTTTTCCCTAAGGATTAAGATGTGTGTTAATGAAGTCTTAGAATTTTGTGGGAAAAATAGTTAAAAGAAAATGCACTGTAAGTAAGTTTAACCTTATTATTGAAAAGTGCAAGTAAAGTCGCTCAGTCCTGTCCAACTTTTTGTGACCCCATGGACTGTAGCCCACCAGGCTTCTCCATCCATGGAATTTTCCCGGCAAGAATACTGGAGTGGGTTGCTATTTCCTTCTCCAGGGGATCTTCCTGACCCAGGGATCGAACCCTGGTCTTCCGCTTTTCAGGCAAATGCTTTACTGTCTGAGCTTATAAATCAAATATAAATAGAAAAATGTCATCTTTGCCCATTAAATGAGTAAAGATCTAAAATCTCCTGAGAATCTGTCCCTGAAGAAGGTATAAAATGTTAAAGGAAAAGAATCAAGTTGTGGCTGGTCCTGTGCCCACCCATTTGCATGCATGAGCTGCTACCGCTCCCCACCCCCCTCCCCAACGCCAGCCCCGGCCCCCAGAATTGTGTAGCTTGAAGGGTCTTAGTTCCCCACTAGGGAGAGCCTAGGTCCCCAGCAACAGAAGTGAAGAGTCCTAAAAACTGGACCACCAGGGAATTCCCTGAATCAAGTTCTTTATTATAAGATTATTAAAAAGAAGAATAAAAATGCTCAATAATAATGTTTCGTAATTGATATATTACATGAAAATTACACTGCTCTTCAGGGCTTACTCAGCTCCTTACCCTTTTCCATGTGCTTGATAATCTCAAATACCCATCAATAATAACTACTTGTGGAAATTCCCTGGCAGTACAGTGGTTAGGATGCCATGCCGCCACTGCAGGGGGCACAGGTTTGCCCCTGGTTGAGGAACTAAGATACTGCATGCTGCATAGCACGGGCAAAAAAATTATGATGATGATAATTTTGGTGAAGGGGTGTGCTTAGTAGAGAAAAGCATAGAATTCTGACATCATTATATTAGTTGTCAGCTGATAAAGATGAGTAGAAGATATATACAGTGAAGACAGTTTATATATAGCAGATTCAGTATCACTAGGTTATATTTTAGCAAATATTTACATTATAATTCAAAATATTTTAGTAATTCTGACCTTCAGTGGCTTCTGCTTATTAAAACACTTGAGAATTTTAAACTTTGTTATATAAAAAATTGCAAACAAATTTTTGAATATACTTTTGTTCCCATCTCAGTGCTTTTACTCCTTTTATGTTGTTTGGTAAGGTAATTTAAATGTCTTCTCTTTTGCAGAGTGAAATGGTAAAGGAGCTCGATGGTCATGTACTCAAATGTGTGAAAGATCAAAATGGAAACCACGTTGTACAAAAGTGTATTGAATGTGTTCAGCCACAGTCACTGCAGTTCATCATTGATGCTTTCAAAGGACAAGTGAGTTTGACTTTTGTCTTCTAGTTAGAATTTGTTAACACATTTTTTTTATAAATCACAGGATAATACCTAGTATTTTCATACAAGGAGATAAATACTGAATGTGTGTTAATTTCTGCCTCTTTCATAGAGTGTGAGTGAGTCAATAGATAGCTTCATTTTTGCAGCTGAAAAATATAGATGAGTTTAATTATATTACTCTAAGAAATAAAGATAACTGCTGTTAGCGTTGTAAGCCTGACGGTGTTTTCCAAATTTCCTGGGAGAGGGGGAAGGAGAGAAGAAGACTTAAGATTGAATAATAAAAGACAGAAAAATAAATATAAATTAGTAACTAATGCATAATAATAGTGTCTGATTACAGTGTGCACTACCGCTACCCCACCATCCATTCTTTGTCATTATTACATGCCTCCCTTCTGATTAGGTACCTTTTGATCAAAATATCTGTTAGCTCCTGAGTACCCTGTTTCCCAGTCTTTGCCAACGTGGCAGTCGACATATTAAATGTAAATTCCCTGTTCTTATATGTTAAATTAACTCAACATGTTACCAAAAACCTGTATAAACCAGTCTTTCCAAAAATGTCACAGATTGGAAGTTTATTTCTTCTAATTGTTTTAAGGTATTTGTACTTTCAACTCATCCTTATGGCTGCAGAGTAATCCAGCGCATCCTGGAGCATTGCACTGCAGAGCAGACCTTACCTATCTTAGAAGAACTCCACCAACATACGGAGCAGTTGGTACAGGTATAAAACCCCTAAAATTTGAAATATTTATATACTTTTGCAAATGGTTCTGATTTTTTAAAGGAAATATAATTTATTGTTAACACACTATAGAGTTAACACACAGTGAAACAAAAGCCTTTTGTATTCTCTTGATTGTACTATTGGGTTTTTAGAAAAATGATAAACATCTTTTTAAAGAATTACTGTTATTCCTAATGAATGACTTTAAGGAAATCAATTTTTAAATGTCTGCACTCAGGATCAGTATGGCAATTATGTTATTCAGCATGTACTGGAACATGGTCGACCTGAAGACAAGAGCAAAATTGTTTCTGAAATCCGAGGAAAGGTGTTAGCCTTGAGTCAACACAAATTTGCCAGGTATTGCATTATTTTCTCATTCCAAGGGAAAGGTCTTTTAACACTCTGACTTTTTAAGCACAGAAATGCATATAGACTGTAACATTGGAATACAATCTCTCATTTTTTTTAGTAGAGGCAAAAGGTACATCTAGAGTGTTGCTTTTGTTCTTAAAGAATCTACATGACAAATTGGTTTGCCCACATATATTCCATTTTTGAAATCTGTGTTTGGAAAATTATTGCTTCCCAAGATGTGTGGATAATTGCACATTTAATTTATCATGCTCATGAAAGCCTCAGACCTTATTAATGACCTAGTTTCCCACCCTCCACCCCCCTTGAATTATGGGTCTTTGATTTGTTTTTGTTTGGCCATACCACATGGCCTATGGGTTCTTAGTTCCCCAACTAGGGATCCAGCTCATGCCCCCTGCATTGGAAACTCGGGGTCTTAACCACTGGACTGCCAGGGAAGTCCCGATAGGTTAATTATTATTTAGTTATAATTTTAAGAGGCCTGTCATTAAACTTGGGGATGTCCCATATGGATTCTTCCATGATACTAATTTCTGTTTTAGAAGTAACTGGAGAATTACAAGAGAATCCTGTTTTGACTCTTCTGCCTTCCAGTGCACTGAACAAGTTCTTTCAGAAGCCAGAGAAAGTTTTCTTAAAACTTTTTTCTTAAAAAAATGGCAAAATAATTTTCTGTTTATGTACTTTAATTTTTTAGCAATGTAGTAGAAAAGTGTGTTACTCATGCCTCCCGTGCTGAGAGAGCTTTACTGATTGATGAAGTTTGCTGCCAGAATGATGGTCCTCACAGTGCCTTATACACCATGATGAAGGACCAGTATGCCAATTATGTCGTTCAGAAGATGATTGATATGGCTGAACCTGCTCAGAGAAAGATAATCGTGCACAAGGTAATACCGTTTGTAGCACTTAAAATAGATGATTCAGTTTGTTCAGGCTACTCCTTTAACTTCCTCAGAATGTATGAACTACAGAAAAAGTTTAAAATCAGTGGAAAACCTTTGGCAGATGTAGGTATGCTGTACACTTTTGTTAAGTAATCAGCTCAATAAAATCACATTCATTTCTCATATTTACCTGCCAGTAGCATTGTCTTTCCCTTTACCTAATCAATTAAGCTGTTTTCTCTCTACCCTTTTTCTACAGTCTAATGATTCTCAAAGAAATCATTACTTTCCACAGGAAAATTTACTGTTAAAATGAACACTGGTGGTATTTTTGCCCTCTTGATTTTGTTTTTAAAATTTAATATTTCTGTTTAAGAATATATACCTGTAACACTTTTTTCAGTCTTATTTTTTAACTGCATTATTTATTTACCAATTTCATATTTAGGGCATTTCAATTACTTATTTTTTAGTAACTGTTCTTAACAGTGTTTTATGTCAACATCTTTGCATAATTAAATGTTTTTGTAAGGTAAATTCCTAGATGTGGAAATTGGTGGCACAAAGTATGTGAACATGTTACATTTTAATAGATTCTGCCAAGTTGCTTTCCAAAAATTTTGTACAAGCTTGCATATCTGTCTGATATTTGCCTGTTTATCGTTATCTCATCAATACCAGTTATTGCTTATAAAATCTTTTCCAGTCTAGATGGAAAGATAATGATTATGATTCTTCTCATAGGCGTTTTTAAAACCATTAGGGAGATAATGAATATCTTAAATGTATTAGCTCTCAAACATCTTGCTTGTTCATGTCTTTTGCTCCATTTTGTATTGAATTTTTGTAGTTGCTTAGAGTTATAGAATTCTACCCTCATAAACTTTGTAAGAATATACCAGCTCATTAGTGATACTTCTCTGATATGTTTGGAGTTTCTCTGTTATTTGCATGTGTAATAGTTTATGGGACTAGTGGCTTGTTTTATTAACTAGACAGTTTTGAAAGTAGAAGTTTGGAGAGAGTGGAACAGAACTGCTTTTGCAAATGACTTTCTTTGGATTTGAATTTTGAAATTTCAGTTATTTCTTCCAAATCACCCAGATTTGGGGGGCAGTTTTTTTAGGAATCAGAAACTAAAATAACTTAGATTTCCTAAGCAGATTATTTATTTTTCAGATTCGACCTCATATTACTACTTTGCGCAAATATACATATGGAAAGCATATACTGGCCAAGTTGGAAAAATATTATTTGAAAAATAGCCCAGATCTAGGGCCTATTGGAGGACCACCAAATGGAATGCTGTAAAGGAAAAAAAGAAGATAATGTAACCATGTGAGAGGAACGTTACTTTTGTGAATTATCAAAACACAACTCAACTATGAATCTTCAAATTTTTTTTAAAACAAAACTATTTATTGACTTTATTCATCCATTTGTAAATTTTTTAAGGTTCTTGTGTATATTTGGGGGTGGGGGTGGTGAATTATAAATTATATTCAGCCCTGAGTGGAGACCTATCAGATTGGATTGCTGGCAAAGCACAGAATGCCTGTATATGATGTAACTGTATCAAAAAATGCTGTCACATATTTTGTAAATTTTTACCTTGTAAAGTCACAAAAATAGTTTTTAAAGGAAAAAGTACAGTATTCTTTTAATAAACTGGCTTACAGTCTGGTAGGTCTACGGACCCCATAGCACAACAGGTTTATAGAGATGTATATAGAAATATAGTCCTTATTTTTTTTTCGTCCTTTGTGTGAAGCCTTTTATAACAGATTAACAATCAACTGCATAAATATTATTAACATTTTAAAAAGAAAGTTAAGTTGTATTTTGGTAATTCACAAACTATCATGCAAATAAAAACTCTAAGATAAGAATTAAGTGATTTGAAAGGAAAAGAACTTATAGTATTTACAACAATGGATATGGTTTTAATACAAATACTGCCCTAAAATGTCTCTGGCAATGTACAGAAGTATTGTATATACTTACATATGTAATTGTTATAAGAGGTAGAAAAAACAGAATCATGGTGACACTTCCATCCAGTTAAGTATGCTAAACGAAAAGTTAAGTTCCATTTTAACTTTTCAGTTTGGTTTGCGATGAGAAAGAATGGAGATTTGTATATTGTTTTGCTTATAGAATTACAAGGACATGTTGAGAAAGCGTTGAGCTTTATTTTGCTTTTTCATAGTAGAATCAAAAAGTAGGAACCTGATAGAGGTGAAAAGGGGCCACTGAAAAGTGAATTTGATAGTTCAACATTTAAGCATGATTACATATTCAGATAGCTTTTTTTGCTTCCTATAAATATATGCATTGTGTGTGTAGTAATAGATGTAAGTTTACACTTGGAAAGCAAATCTTGTTTCAATGTTTATTATAAAAGCCTTGCTAATTTGGTAGTGATGCTTTCTTTGGTTGTACAGGTGTATATTTGTAAACCTCAATGCTGTAAATGGAATTTGTTTTATCTCTTTGGGAAACATTTGCATTTTGGTGTACATTTATGTCCCTGCCCTCTGACCTGGCATATAGTGTTGTATAATGTAAATTGATTTCTCCAAATTGAGAGTGATTTTTTAAAATTTTTTATCTTTATATGGTTTCAGAAGTATGAACCAGCTTTCTTTTTATTATTGTGAAAAACATTTTGTTTTATAACATAATTGTTGACTCTGTTAATATGGACATGCTAGGATTTGGATCACTTTCAAGAAGTCAGGGTATTGTGCATAATAGAAAGTATTGGACTGAGATATTGGATTACCATGGAGGCCAATGCTTTTTCCATCTTATTAAATGTGATGTGACTTTTTTTCTTTGTACAGAAGAGTACTGTATTTTTGAATAGCCTACTCCCAAGTAATAGCAAATCTGTATGATAACATTTTTTCTCTGGACATAAGACATAACAGTAACATGATGTACATTTACAAGCGGCCTTATGTACATTTCCCAACAATCTTTTTAAGGCAAAATTGTGACCATATGTGTATAATTAAAATCGTTTTTAATCCTTTGCCTATGAAAATATTTTGGAAAAAACTTGCTTTGTATATTCAGTTTCTGAAAGATAAAGAAAGTGCTTTGTATTTTGTTGAAGTCAGTATTTTGTATAAAACTTTTATGTTGACCCACTTATGTTTAGTGCTAAAAACTAATGAACCATGCTATCTCTTTCAATTGAATATGTAAGGGATTTTTTTATTGGAAGTCTGCAGAAGAATACCAGTCTTCTGAGCACAATAGTGAACATACAGATTTTTCACATAGCTGTTCATATCATGAACCTAAGAATAATGGCATGAAGTTTGGGGTGCCAGGCATAGTTTTTCATGTTTTATGTTGAGTTACTCTAGTTTTGTAACCCAGCATTCCTTGTTGAGGCCATTAAATTTGTTGCTGTCCCTTCTCACAGTCACACTTGTTCGTCAGCATGTCCCAGCCACAGTGCAGAGCTTTCCCCTCCATACAGGGCTGCTCCCTGCCGCCCTTCCTGCTTCGTTTTGCCAGCCTCAGAATGTCTTGGCCCTGTGTTGGACTTTTGTTCCCAGTATCAGCTCATGGTTTCAGGATCAAAGTTGTCCTTGTTGGAGATTGGTGGTGACTTTCCTGGATTTGCACAGTTAAATTCCTGGTTTTTCTTTAACTTCTGTTCACACAGACATTATTTCTGCAGATTTAGAAAGTCCTAGAGAACAGCACATTGGGAAACTGGACCATTGTCTTGGATTCCTGATGTTCTTGTGTGTCCCATTATTAACAACCCAGTCTTCCCAGTATTTTAGGGCTTATCGTAGAAAAATATCTGTTACTCCAGAAATTTTGATCTGCCATTTTTGATGCCCACCTCTCTGATTCCACCTTTTAATAAATTGGCATGAGGTTTTGGTATAATCTGAAAATGACATTTTAGAATAAACTTAATTGGGCAGAACCACTTAGGCTTTACTCTTGGTTGTCTTTTGATATGAATTGTCTCTGGACCAGTTTGTCTAAGTCCTGGCTCTTATTGGTTCATATGAAATAATGTTATCTTCACTTCTTTGTATATTATGTATAAATTAGAAAATGAAAAATGTGTGAATAACATTGTATGAAATAAATCTGGTCTTGTGTTTTTCTCTACATAAAATACCCCACTGTACCTCAATTACAATTCCCATTGACCATTCAAGTTTACCCTGATTTAAGGAAAATGAAAATATCTTTATCACATGGATGCTAGTCTGGGGCCAGTGATTGCACTGATGGTATGAATCCTATCTTATAATATTTATAATCTCTGTCTAACTACATAGAGTCATTACGCACTTCATATGATGAAACTTTAACCCTGTTTCTTTATTGATAAAATGACACTTCAAAGTTGTTTTTGAGGATTAAATTAAATCACATATCTTTACCCACAGGTGTTTGTTTCCTTTGCACATACATGCACTTTAGGAGACTATGTTGTCTAAAAGTACAGTCTGGCTTCAGGCCTGTATTTAAAGTTAACCTCACTTTTCACAAACCTTGTGAATTTGATTGTGTTATCTCAGCCTTAGTACCTTCATTTTTAGTATGAAGTGAAAGTCGTTCAGTCACATCCGACTCTGCGACCCCGTCAATAGTCCATGGAGTTCTCCAGGCCAGAATACTGGAGTGTGTAGCCTTTCCCTTCTCCAGGGGATCTTCCCAACCCAGTGATCGAACCCAGGTCTCCCACATTGCAGGTGGATTCTTTACCAGCTGAGCCACAAGGGAAGCCCTCATCTTTAGTATGGGATGGAGCTATTTTTAAATCTTTGGTCGTTTTAAGAATTGAAAATATATATAGAGAGAGACCTAGAACCTAATTCTCAACCAGTGTTAATACTGTTTCCATTTTCCTGTGCCTTCTATAGCTGATTTTTTAAATCTATATAGATAATTTGATAGAATTCAAAATGGATATCTTCATAAAACTAAGTGGGAAAAGGAATTTTTCTCATACACATTGTTTATCCTCCATTTTTGTTTTATCCTGGTTTAGTTCTATTCCAAACTGCTAGCCGTTCTGGAGTGTTTCACCTAGCCCATTATAGTGATGAAATTAAAGTTCCTAAAAGGGAAATAAATGTCACATCCTCCCACCCTAGTCTATCAGCATCACAAAAGTGTTTAACTAAAGTGACCTGGGTGGTAGTCTATTTGCCCTCATAACAATGGTTTCTCCAAAGCGGGTGGGTGAGTAGAAGAAGGCGGAGAAAGCCCTAAGGAGTAGTCTTCACTGTCTACCTTACCCATCTGACTTGAAAGGACTGGATCAACATATGGGATTTGAATGTGCAGCCATTTGGTAAATTTATCTCTAGACACAGAAGGAATAGAGCTCTCGGTAAAGGCTCCAGTGTGCCTCTGGAAGGCACTGCTGAGGGAAAGGAAGGGGTCAGGCCTAGGTTGGGCCCTGAGGTGTGTTAACTGTGTGGTTACCCTTTAGGCCTCTTACCTGAAGTTATCTGCCTGTAAGTAGAAATAACATCCTGACTTCCTGTAGAACCTCAGACCTGAGAGTACTTGATGCTAAGAACCTTGTAAGTATAGAGTAGATCCTGTGGGAAGCTCAAAATTCAGTGGAATATTTGTTGAACTTTTATTATCTATCTATACATGCTGTTGATAATTTGTTTCTTTTTGTGCCAGTCATACAACTGTTTTTCCCCTGAAGTTTGGTCATTTAAGAGAGAAATTGGGTACATTTAGATTCAAATTTTCCTGGGCATAAGAGTGTAAATGGTTCAGTGTTTGAACTCTAGAACTGGACTGCCCAGGTTCCCTTAGTTTTACATTTTTAGACAGGCATTTTCATCTTTTAAGCCTTAGTTTCCTCGTGTGTAGGCAAGGGATAAAATACCCACCTCCTAAAATTGTGAGGATTAAAGGAGAATATATGTGACGTGCAGGGGCAGTGAATATTCAGTGCCCTCTGTTACAGTTGGGTTTTGTTTTTTATTTGCCTATGTACCACCTCAAAATATTTGACTTAGAGCTCTTGTTCTGCAAATGAGATCTTGATTCAAGTTAGCAGATAAAGCACTAGGAAGTAGGAAGAATACTGGAAGAAGACATGAGTAGGAAACTATAGCATTTTAATTTTTTTCTTGGTACATTTAGTCTTTTTATTTTTCCCCCTTGGTACTAATGGAGGTATTAGTAGCTTTGGCCTGTTGGTGAATGGATACCAGGATGGAAGCAACACAAAGAAATGAAAGGCAATGTGGTAGAGAACTCTGTCTCACACACACACCTAGAAAAGCATAGTAAGAGAC